GCGGTCTCTGAAGTTCTTTACGATAGGTAAAATTCTGTGTGTGTGTGTGTGTGTGTGTGTGTGTGGAACGTTTTCGTTTTCATGCGACAGAGTGTGGGGCACGTGGGCACATTTGACAGCCCGAAATGGGCCGAAACACGGGACTGAACGGGTGTTATTCAATTGACATACAAATATTTTATTTATTTTTCATTTTGCACAGCTTTTTGTTTTTCTCTGCCATAACACATAGCAAAATCACAACAAACAATGCTAATTTTGTATATCAACATTTATACTTATGGGGGATACATTATATCATTTGGCAGATTTTCTGACCTGTTTTTCTATTATATTTGTTTACCCCACAGGGCGGCAATAATGCTGGACACACTGTGGTGGCCAATGGCACCGAATTCGATTTCCATCTACTGCCGAGCGGCGTCGTGAACGAGAAATGCATCTCGGTCATTGGTAAGTTTTGAGAGGCAAGAATCAGAATGATACCATGGGATCCATCGAGTCAAGAAATGCAAGTTAAGGCAAGCAAGATAAATCTCTAGCAAGAAGTGTTTTGAATTTAAAGTAAGCCAACGATTTCTTACCTATTCTCTTTTGATTTTCATATTTTAAATTTAACGAAAATGTAACGAACTTTGTAGTGGTTGATGCTGAGTTTAAGACTAAATTTATCCGCTAAGAGAGATTCCACTGTACCTACAAATGGATCTACATATACATACTCTGCCTATTCGTTTATTTTGTTTTTAGTTTAGATTTTCCCTCGCGATATTGTATATATCGAGAAAATACTGATGTATGCATATGTTCTGTACATATACATACATACATATGTGTATCCCCGAGTGTATATGTAGTATATGGAGGAATTTCTGGCAAGACATAGTGCATCATTGACATTGGCTTGCGGGTCAGTCAGATGGGTCTGTTTTTCGACTTTGATATCGCTCGCCCATGAAAATAAAAGGTTTTCTATTTTCGTTAATGGGAAAATGGAAATAATTGCATCAAAGTAGGGCGGCAAAGTTGATAACGCTACGTGCCTGGTGGTGCTGCCAATGACGTCACCAAGGTCGTCATTGTCAATTTATTCACGAGTATATCTCGCTCCTGGTTACATTTATCCAGCTCTTCTGCTTTGCAAAGTTTAATCGATGTTGTAGTTGGTGACTTTGTTTACCAGAACAGCAGCAACAACAACAAATTGTGCATTCTCATCGCTTGTCACAAGACTAATTTATGAGATAATCAGAACAGAGTCCCACAGCCCCCCACAAACACACAAAGAAAACCCAATGAAATGGCTGTTGGGGGTGCCAGTGGTGGTGCTGATGGGAGAGCTTTTGCTGTTTAGATATCGTTTAGGACACACAAAAACACATAACCAAATCCATCCACCCACACAATCAACCACAACGGGTGGGGTACACATTATTCTAATCAGGCAATTAGCTTATTATTTTGAATTTTCAACTTATTCCATGCCCAATTTGTACATCAGCTGTTCGCAAAGCAAGCTCGCGTGCCCAGGCATTATGAATTATGAATTATGAATTTCGTTTTAAATGGCTTTGCAACTCGTCAAGCTGTTGTGAAATTTACACACAGATGCGTGTACATATTTACAGATTCTCAAGAAATGTCCAACCACTTGATTCCGCCTGTATTCTGTTTAGTTTTCAGGCGCAAAAGCTGTACCAACAATAAATAGCCGCAGCTCTACGAAATAAGTGAACATATATATGTATCCAATATAAGCTTAATGTGCAATAAAAACTGATAGATAACAGTTCTACTAGTAACAGCTCGTGTAAGCACTTATTAGATAAGAGACAACAGAACCAGTTTTAGTGGGTCTGTGCAGCATATCATTGGAGTTTAGAGTGTGTTTAATCGAAGAGGGAAATTTGAAACCACTCTGAGGAATAGGATCACTATTAGCTAAGAATGTTTGAAGTAAATATAAAGGAAATAAGTTCCGTGGAAAACAAGAGCAACCGGGGGGAATGAAGGTGCAGTGTGTTCCAGCTTTAGTGCCTTTACGTAAGGCGCACTGCAGGGGCAGTTGTCACATGACTGCGAGACGCAATATCTGGCACATTTATTACCCATAAAGTGTGCAGTTTCAGCAAGTGGGGAGATCCCCCAGATATACTCAAAGCTCTAAGCTAACATTTGTTTGTGCACTTGCAGGCAATGGCGTTGTCATCCACCTGCCCTCGCTGTTCGATGAGGTGCTGAAGAACGAGGCCAAGGGCCTGCAGCACTTGGAGCACCGTCTGATCATCTCGGATCGGGCGCATTTGGTGTTTGATTTCCACCAGCATGTGGATGGCATGCAGGAGGCTGAGAAGGGTGGCAAGTCGCTGGGCACCACCAAGAAGGGCATCGGTCCGGCCTACTCAAGCAAGGCCACTCGCAACGGCATCCGTGTGGGCGAGCTCCTGGGCGACTTTAATGCGTTCAGCGACAAGTGAGTGCCGAATCACCATCGCTCGCCTTATGTTGGTTTGTTATTTATTTATTGATATTTGTTTCAGGTTCAAGTTGATTGTCGCCACACATCTGCGGCTGTTCCCATCGATTAATGTCGACGTTGAGGCGGAACTGACCCGCTACAGGGACTACGCAGAAAAGGTGCGTCCCTATGTCAAGGACACGATTTGCTTCTTACACACAGCCCTGCGCAACGGCAAGACCATCCTGGTCGAGGGCGCCAACGCGGCCATGCTGGACATTGACTTTGGCACGTATCCATATGTGACCAGCAGCAACTGCAGCATTGGCGGCGTCCTCACCGGTCTGGGCCTGCCCCCTCAGACCATTGGCGAGGTCATTGGCGTGGTCAAGGCCTACACGACACGAGTGGGTGACGGCCCCTTCCCCAGCGAGCAGTTGAATGTGAGTTGGAATTGCCAAATACAAAGATATTCGAATCGCTTATTGAACGACTCCTTTGATTTTTAGGAAATTGGTGATCTGCTGCAGACGCGAGGCTTTGAAGTTGGCGTCACCACGAAGCGAAAGCGCCGTTGTGGATGGCTGGACATCCCATTGCTGAGGTACACCTCGCTGGTGAACGGCTACACGTGCATTTGCCTAACCAAGCTGGACATCCTGGATACGCTGCCGGAGATCAAGGTGGCTGTGAGCTACAAGAAGGCCAATGGTGACAAGCTGGATCATTTCCCGGGCACCATTGCCGAGCTGGGCAACATCGAGGTGGAGTACGCAGTCCTCCCCGGCTGGCAGACGTCCACGGAGAACATCCGCAACTTCAAGGAGCTGCCGGAGAACGCACAACACTACGTTCGCTTCCTGGAGAAAGAGCTGAGCGTGCCCGTGCGCTGGGTGGGCGTTGGCAAGGGCCGTGAGTCCATTATTAACGTGCACTAGTGCCAGCCAGATGCAGCGACGTACTTATGAATATGTGTGTGTATATGATGAGACGGAAGCGCTTTAATGCCCATTAGCCAGAGACGCGCAACATAGCGGAATGGCCTTTAACTATCTAACCACAGACCTAACCACCACAAATGAAACTAATATTTCGACTATCTACAATATTTGGACACAAATTATTAGCCTATTGCTTTTTTAAGATTTATTTCATAGTTTTTGATGATGTTCACATATTCATTTTGAGCGGCTCCTGCCCATATGGATGGGGGGGGGCTCGCCACGCATATAATACTTACTATCAATTCTTGTTTGATGCGGAGAGGACGAACTTAGTTTTTAAGATCATCAGGTGCAGTTTTCAGATTTTGTATGCGAGGAAGAGGAGGCAAATATTTTAATTGTACAATAACTATATGATGTTGTTTTAATATTTAAATACAACAAACAGTGTGCTCTGACTTGTGTAATTGTGTCGCAACAAAATACATTTTAATTCAAATATGTTTGTGTTTCTTAATTGTTTACCTGATTAGAGATTTTAATATTTCAAAAATAAATGTTGAAACTATTCGATTTTAACTATCGTTTTCACCTATCGATTCTAGCACCTGCAAAATACTCGATTACATATTTTCCGTATATTGCGTGGGGTCACACTTTTCTACTACCTGTTTGCTTCATTTAATTTATTTTATTTATTTTTTTCGTCCATTGTTTACCTTGTTTATTGTTGGCTTGTTTAAGTTGTTAGTGAAGTAAAAAGTTTTTCAATATGGTAAGTTATGGCTACAAAAAGTGACATAATCGCTTTCTACGACTGCACTTTCCACTTGACTGCCCCCATTAACAATTTATTTTCGTGCTACTTTCTATATTCATATTACTCTCAACAGGCACGTTACTTTAAAGAGCAGGATATTGATGGTAATTATTGCTGTGACGAATTGATGATTTCACTCTAAAAACATTTCTTATCTCCAATGCAGAGTTCCGCGAGTGCTTTTATCTGTTTGCCCGTTCGGGCCAAATCAACAATTTGGACGAACTAACTGTAAGCAGTATTCATACACAACACCATAAACTCTTGTGACTACAATGCGTCGTTCTAGGTAATCATGCGATCGCTGGGTCTGTCGCCGACAATCCAAGAACTGGTTTCATACTTGAAGCAGAAGAATGGAAAAATGAGCTTCGCCGACTTTCTGGACATCATGCACCAGCACTCCAAGGTAGAGAGTCTGCCGGACGAGGTCATTGCCGCCTTCAAGGCAGCCGATCCTCACAACAAGGGCACCATATCTGCCCGGCAGCTGCGCAACCTACTACAAAACTGGGGCGAGGGCCTCTCCGTGCGCGAGGTGGACAATATCTTCCGTGAGGCTAATGTCAACAGCAATACCAATGTGCGGTACGCAGACTTTGTCAAGATTGCTTGTGCCCCAGTGCCAGACTACTATTAGTCCATGCTGGCAGAGCCTTAAAAAACATTCCAGTACACATGCAATTCCCTATGAAACTCGCACAAAAAACCACTTGCAAATAAAGTTTAGAGACGATATTTAAGAAAAGTTTTCGATTTTATTTGAAAACTTCTTCACTTGTAGAAAAAGGACATCAGCCGTTCTTAGTTGGCAATGGTAACCTCAACCTCTACGCCGGGCTCGATGTTGATCGACGTGATCTTCTTGACGATCTCAGATGGGGAATGCAAGTCGATGATGCGCTTGTGAATTCTCATCTGAAAGGGGACGAAAATAGAGATTTAAATTAGTAATGGGTCGCAGCAGTGCTGAAGAAGTTGTCCAGCTGAAGGCTTTGTAGAATTCGGAGAGCCAAATTGTGAGGAATATCAGCAAAGAGGACTATGAGAACACGTTTACTCTGGGCAGACCAAATGAGATACTGTACAACGGCAGATTAAGTACCGAACCACGATATCAGATCTGCCCATTCATATAGAAGCATATGTCAATGTGATGACTCACCTGGAAACGATCCCAGGTCTTGGAACCCTCACCACAAGGAGTCTTACGGGTGGTGATGCGCAGGACCTTGGTTGGCATGCGTACGGGGCCCTGAAACAGAAAAGAAACACCATTAGCCACATATTTCTACATGATTTCACACAAGTGTCGCTTGAACCATATAATACTCCCACACTGTTGGGATTCATTGCGGGAATAATGTCCGATTCAAGCATTTTTCTATTGCATTTATTAAAGACTAGGCTAAGCGTCTGGCGGAACACAGAGCCTCCAGGTAAATGCGGATGCACATGGTGTGCCACGGGGATGCCACTCACCTTGACACGCAGATTCTGGTTCTTGGCACCGTTGATCAAGTCACGGCACACATTCTCCAGAGAACGCACGTTCCTGGAGGTCAGGGTAATGCGAATGCGGTGCACTGAAGCAGAATCGCCGCCATGGGGCTTCTCAATGTCCTTGGGTGCAGCAGCCTGTCGAATGTGAGAGGCATCTATTAGTTTCAGGTTATGGTGAATCTCGCAGCACGTGCGTCGGTTTCATCTACACATTTTGCACTTCCAATAGCTGCAAACTACGTACAACCATCTTCTGCATGCCACAGCATTCATATTTACCATTATTAGCAATTTCTCTGGTCGAGATAGTCAAATCTTTTTATTTTGAGCAGCGCTGAACCAGTGTGGTTGCACGTTGAAAAAAGAAGGGGCGGTCGGTGTCATCGAATGGCAGTGTGACCTTAATGCACAGGGTTGATATTATATTGATACATCGACATGGATATTATTTACTACTACACTACTACTACACATTTTCTACAAACAGTGTGACCGCGGAAAACATAGGCTTAGTGTGACCGAAACATAAATGTACCAAAATATAACATCTCATTTTAAAAATATACCGTAATATACCGTAGTCTTAAATCATATTCCTCGCATTTTATGTTCTATTAGAAATTACTATCTTGCAAAGACTTTTAAAACTGAAATAATAATTTAATCCGATTGAGGAATCAATTTGACGTATTTTAATGCTAATTATTATTGGTTTGTATACCATATGACCTTATATTTCACAAATTCAAACATTTAAATCGCCCCTTCTGGAAGCAGGGGAGCTTTGTGTTCAGTATGTAAATGTATGTAACATGCAGACACATGTATGTTAACTGATTTCATACAAATTTTTTAAAAACTGCGCGCGCAGCAAAAGAAGATAAGAAACTCTATTGTTTTCCTGAAGGAAACATAAGTAAATATTATAATTAGCTCGGAGTGGTTTGGGGTGCAGTTCTTCTATCTTTACAACATAATTGGGGCTAAACTCCGATTTCGGGTTGTATGGGTGCCGTAAAGTTTTATGTTGTATGGGTGCCCAACCCGTACTTTCCAACCACCCTCCGATTACCCAATACCCATATACCATATGCATATCCAGATTTTATGCATATAAATTATAAATTATAATTATTTAAACCTTATATTCGAAAATTGGTAAATTTTATCTTTCCTTCCTCTCCTGAGCTGATATTTAATTTATATTTATTACTCTTCTCATTCCATAATAAGCAGTTAATTCTTAATTGAAAATAAATAAATAAATTATGTATTCTATATATTTTCCATTTTCTAATTTTAATATATTCTATTTGTTTGATATTTATTAGTTGTCTCATTAGTTGTTTCCCTTCGCAAAGGAAAAGAGCTTTCAAATTCCCTTAACAAACCAAGGGAGCTTTCATGGTTCGAAATTTATACCAAAAAATAAGGTGTCGACAACAGGTAAATACGCCAAAAAAATTCCATGTTCCAGTTCTTATATCTTAACATAATTGGAGCTCGACACCGGTTTATACAATGTAATTACTCCTTTCTTTTCCTTTTGCTAAGAAACACCGGATCATTATCCGTACGTCCTGCGACTCTGACAGACGCTTACCACATCAGACGCTCTCCTGATCTGAGATAAATACCGAGATATTGAACGAGCACAGAAATATGCACAGAAAAATGTATTTAAAATAAATTCGTTCCTTTCTTCCTTTCCTTACTTTCTTCAAGTATTCTTTACAAATTATCAAAGTTCACATATGAATTTTATGACATTTTAACCCACTTTTTGAAAGCAGTTTTTCTTTAAAAATTTTATTCAACACAACACGTCACACACATCTGTACATACAAGAAGAAATCACAATTAAAACATGTTTAAGCCAAAGAAATCAAAGGACTGGAAAATAGTACCACGCAAACATACCGCGTAAGTGGAAACTTTTGACTCGATTACAGAAAATTCATGTAATAATTCTTGTGTTTAATTGTGACTTATCCTGGCAGCTTTGACCCCGGCAATACCAAAATTACAGAGCAATTGGAGGCATTCAAAAGGCACACGGACGAGTTTGAAAAGTCGAATCAAAAACGCAAAGAAACTTCATTTAAACTTGAGAACAAGAATCGCTTGGTGGACGATGCCATGGAGCACATCAAAAGTAATCCTTCGACCAATGTGAATGTGGATGGGGGGAGCTTCCAGTGCCACGGCTTGGTTCTTTCAATGTTCTCGAAACGTCTGAGGGAGGACATGAAAAAGGGCAGCCTGAACTTTCAGGCACCAGAACTGTCATCCCATGCACTTGATCAAATATACCGCTGGGTGCATGGCGATAGCAGTGTTGTGGAGACCTTTGACCTGAAACTCTTTAGAGCTGCTAGCTTCCTGGCCATTCCCGAACTGGTCGACGAGATGTGGAAGCAGCTGGACAAAAATAATCTAACTGAATACGCTGCCTTCAAGATGCTGTGCAAGTCGCGCAAAATGCACGACATTGAGGAGCTGCACGAGGTGATGGTCTCCCGAATATCCAAGTCCACGCTGGTCATCTTCTCCTCCAATCAGTTCCTGAAACTCAATGAGAACCAAGTGTCGCTGCTGCTGAAGTCGGACCGTTTGGCAGTCAACTCCGAAATGGAAGTGGGTCAGCTCTGAATATTCATTGACATTTTACTTAATTTATTTATTTAGATTTTTTATGGCGGCTTGTGCTGGCTGAGATACAAGTGGCCCCTACGTCGCGACAGCGTTGGCAAGGTTCTGCAGAGCATTCGCTTTGGGTTTATGTCCGTTTTCATGCTCAGGAAGTTGACGTTGTCGGATCGACCGCACACCGGTCCGTTCGGGGACATCTTGGATGTGTTCATAAAGCTGCCCGACTTCAAGAAGATCCTAGCCGATGCCATGTTCTACAGCAGCCTTTTCACGATCAGTTTGAAGCAGCCGGATTGTCTGAAGGATAGGCTTGCAGTGACCCGGATGAAGCTCCTTCGCGCTCGCTGTTGGACGGTGGATAAGCGTTGCGCGCACCATCGCCCTGTCTCCGCAATCATTCCGAACATGTCCTTTGTGTCGTGGGAGGAGTTCACGACCTACATGTTTATGCTGCAAAATGATAAAACCAATATCGAAGACTGCATTCGCTGTGTGGACGAACCGGAGCGCCTCTTCTGTTCGGGCTCGGAGAGCGATCTGTCGGTCCATAGCTTCACATCGTCACATACTTCACAGTTGTCGGAGACGTCCACCACCAGCGTGACAAGCAGCTGCGAAGACACTTCGGATGCGGTATCAGTACTTTCCACGGGCTCATCAGCATCGGATGCATCGGATCGCCTGACCTCCATTTACTCATCAGAATCCAAGGGCTCATTGGCACGGCAGAGACGCCTGACCTCTCCGGATAAGTAGAAATTTTTAGAGAATTTAATTGTCCGGCTGATTTTAGCCTACTCAGATGAATTAATTGTTATCCTTTTTCATACAGCAGGAAACGTTTTTTAATATTCGCGGGTAAATAAACACCCGTTGGTCGACATGGAAAGGTAATCCAATTCCTCGATTTAGACATTCGTTTTATAATTCTCAGTTAGATACGACTTTTAGAAATGCAAATACAGTTTTAGCCGATAGATAAATCAGTTATCTACAACATAGATTAGTTTAAAAGCAATTCTTTTATCGTATTGCTTAAAGAAATGCGGTTTTAACAAAAAATGCCTCAAAAATGCTCATTCTTTTACACGACAACTACACCATTTGCTACACAAATTGACTCGCAGGGCGTAATAATACAAGATAACACTACAGCGCAGGGCTGCCAGACTGTCTTAAAAGGTCGTGGCACCTCAGTGACGTCAGTGTTGCCCCGAACAGTTTTAGCCGTTGGAAATTTGAAATTCCGCTCCTCAATTAGCATTTAGGAACTTATTCGCCATAAGCATTACATGGCATCACGTTTATTGTTATCACAATAATTTTACGAGTGAGTTGCGCGCGCTTTTTAATGATATTCATGAGTTTTATATTGGTTTATTTTTGTACACGATAAAGGCGCGCGGTGCTTTTTTGGGTCCAGTCTTGTTCGAGCTGAGTGGGTGGGGATGGGGCCTGGGCTGACGGCAGTTGTGGTCACGCGCGTCCATGGCTCGGCCCCAGAATGTGGAGCAGCGCAGCGTAGCTTTATGGCATGGCTTTGTTGTTGTGGCAAGAGTATTGCCTGTGGTGTCGTATGAAATGCGCTTGGAATTTACCAGACAGACCTTTGCCTTGTCGTCCACTCCTCCTGCTTGGCCAGGTCTTCTTTTTCCTCGTCCTGCGCCTGTGATAATCGCCCCGCTGGCTGCTTGACAGGCAAACAATGCTGTGAATTTGATTAAAATCAGCCTGCGTGTGCGTCTTCAGTTCTGGCTGCTCTTGTGGTTCCTGCTGCTTGATATTTTGTCGTTATTGGAGCACACTCACATCTGGGGCAAGCTAAAGCCTGGCTTATGGCCGCCTCGTTTGTAGCCGCAGTCCGATGCAGGCGGTGCGTTCCACTAATTGCCAAACGCCTAAATTTGGCCTGGGAAAACGTTTGGGTTGGGTTGGGTATAAGTATTGAAAGTTCTGAGTCTTTGTTTTGATTTAATAATCCAACATTGAGTGAATAAATATCTTCGTTTGGATTGCTCAAAGAGTGGAAATGCATTTCTTCTCCGCGTTTCAATGGCTATGGCTGCTAATGAGCTCCAGCTGCCAGGGCGACACTTATGTGTGCCACTCCTCATCCTCATCCATCTCCCTCAACAGCACCACCACCTCGAGAGTTCTTCTTTCTCTTTCTCAGCTGGCTTCTTGTGAATTTGCAATGAGGCTAAAAGCTAATTAGTTGCCTGGATTTCACAGCTTCCCTTTCTGCCTCTCCCTCACTGTCTGTAGCTTCCTTCCTCTTGCTCCAACCAAGCGTTAATTTTTCCTCTGAATTGCACACAGGAGGAGGCTCCTTAGGTGAAACGAGGTTGTGTGTAGGAGTCACCCCCACACACACAGACACACAGACACACAGAATGCAGGATCATCCACACGGCGAAACGAAACGGATGTTCTCGCGCCACGTTGGCTCCGGTCCCGGTCCAGGAGCAGGACCAGGTCTCGGTCTCCCTGCCAAGCTTTTTTTGTGGCAGGAGGGTGTGTGCGTGTGTGTGTGTGTGTGTGTGCTGAGGGGGCTGCAGAATGTTAATAAATCTTATTTTTATCATTTGGCTATAAATACTGAATTTTTAGCTCCGGCCATGCTCAATTTATGGCCATTATTTATGTCGGAAAAGCGAAAACCTCAAACATGCTGCCACACTTTTTGCTCTCCCTCTGCCTCGACCATTGCTGCTTGCTGCTGGCCTGCATTGTGCATCCATTTTTATTTGTTGCTGTTTTGGCCAAAA